CTCACATTTGTGGAAATGGTAAGAATTTTTTGGTTTAACATTTTTTTTTCTCTTTTACTCTTTTATTACCGTTAACTACATAATAAATACGCATTTTAAAAAGGAAAATTTGGGTATGCAAAAAAAGAAAAATTAAAAAAATGGGGGAAAATTGTTAAAAAGTCTAAACGTAATTTGGCATGTAAATTAGTGGAGTTAGCCTGGAATACGAACAGCATTGGTTGTTGTATTCTCCTACTTAACTCCACACATATTTCGTTACATCTACTACATATTGTTTATTAAATTTTACCTTTTAATTTTTAGTTTTAACATTATTTTGCTTTAAATTTCGTTTCATTTAATATTTATTGATGTTTTCTGTTGTTGTATAACGTACGTGCGCTATGAAACCAATACTTTTACCTATTTTTTGTTTATTTATAATTATGTTTTGTTTATGTTTTCATTTTAACATTTCAATTTAATCACCGCCAAATGTGTGTGCAAGTGTGTTTGTATGAGTATGTGTTCGTTTATCTGTTGATGAGGGTAAGAGAGAAATAATTTTACATATTTTAAATAAAAAAAGTTTGATTTGATTAATGTAATTTTTTGTCTGCTTTAAAATAATACAAAATCATAACGAAACGATGTCATTTCGCTTTGTTAAAAAGAAAAATAAATTTAACGAAATGATTTTGTTTCGCTTCGGCGCCATGTTATAGATACGAAAGGAGACTGTTAATGTAATATTAACAGCAGACTTATTTTTAACGTTTAATATTAACTGTTAACGATTTAACATTAAGGTAGTAGTCTTCTTTAGAATCCAAAAAAAAAACGCCTTTTTGGCAATATTTTTGAAAGGGTAAATTATTGGGGTAAAAGAAATTTTCAGACAATAATGTACTATATTTACACTTCAAAAATTTGTGTATAAAAAATAATGGAATTCTCCAATGTTGTGATGAGTTTTGTGAAGCAGCTGCAGTCTGAACTTGTGAAAGGGTGCCGGTGATGGCGGTTGTGCGATGCATATGAAACAGTCGAACCAATTTAATTTTAATTTTTAAGAGTCGCTATTCCGTAAGAGCTAATAAAAAACTAAGAAATTCGAAAATTATAATTTTTTTCGAAGTCTGAAAAAAAATTCACTTTTTTGCAAAAAAAAAAAAAAAATCACTTCAAGATGCACAAAAAATAGTTTGAATAATACTTTTGTCCAACTTTTTTAGTTTAAATAGAAGATAATTTAATACTGAAGCTAAATCCGTTTGACTTTTACTGTTTGCTGTAACTTCTAAAACTGAAAACTGGAGTGAACGTCAAAGGCTGTTCGAACATTCGAACCTGCTCGACGCTCGGCCACTAAAGCTGCTCTAGCTTTTTAAATATGTCGAATTGACCACTGAAATTTTGAAGACATATTTTTGGATAGATTTAGAAGAGATTTAAGAACAAACACAAATCATTTTTTGAAGCCTCTTTAGCAAATTACTGCCTAAACAACAGCATTTCGTTGCGGTAAAAACGAAATAAATGAAATACTTCCCGACAACTTCAACCTATTCCAAGCAGAACACACCTATATTTCCGGAAACCATTGCAATCATACCGCCTCAAGGGTGGCAATAAAATTTACAGAGATCTTAAACTATACACATGTCTGGGCATATCACTTTCCTCGACAAAGTATCTGCTAAGATGAGCCAAGAGCAGATGGAAGAGAGAAGCAATGCGTCAAGGAAAAACTGTCAATTATTAATGAAGGTCAACAGAACTTAGTCTCTACTTCTTCAAAATCGTACCTCCATAGGCATAACTACCATTGTAATAACCTGACACTGTCTTAGGGGGACACATTGTAGAAGGATGGGCTGCATCTCAAACGACTTCTGCCGCAGCTGCAGGAACATACATGTAGATGAGGAGGAATTGCTGGAACACCACCTCTGTCACTGCCAGCTCTCAATGGGGTCTATTATCGTTTTCTCGGAAATTTCTCCATCGATTGCATTGCAGATTTGAATCGGCAGGCGTCATTAATCTCCTGAATTTCACCTGTTAAACTAACTAAATTAACTTGTTCTTCTAACATGACGCTGTCCTAAGAACTGTCAAATTGTACGACTATAAAGCATATTGAATTTCTTCCTCACCAAAAAATATAAATAAATAATAAAAAATTTCCACTACAGAGAGATCTGAACCTTGTACCTAATGGTCTACAACGATAACCTCTAACAACTCGGTTATCGTGACGATTAAGCCATGAACGTTAAGTCAAGTCAGTCGTGACCTGCTGGATATGACAATAACAAACGATGGTGGAAATTATTATTACTCCCGTTACAGGTGTACTGCTATAAAAATAGCCAGCTGCTATGAGTTCATCTTCAAAATACTGATATTTTACTAGAATTTTTGCATACTAGTTTGGCTTTTCCCTGGAGGGTTGATAAAATTGACACATAAGCACAAGAGACCGTGTTGGGAAACATATCTTCCTGATAAAATTTGTTTGTTTGTTTAAACCAAAATTTGTTGTATTGATTTTTACTTAGTAAGTACAAAAAGAAAAAAACAAAACATTTTTATGATAACTTACTGGTAATTAGGTCATTTTCATGCTCGTTTCGTGTCTTTCGTATATACATACATTTGTATGTACGAGTATATGCTTGTGTAGATGTGGTATGTGTGTGTAGATGTGCTGTGTTTGCTCCCAATAATTTTCTTTTCAAATTTATCGCAATCACAATACATTTCTTTTGAATTTTTCCAATTTAATTTTCTAAGTTTAACTTTTTACTAATTATTTTATTAATTTTCATTAACGATGCTTTCGTGCATTATAACATTTTAACTGTCTTGGTTTAATTAGCAAATTTACTATAATTTTATTTATAAATTTTTTATGTTTTTTTTTTTTTTATTACCTACCAACATTTAATTAGTGATTAACTTTAGTTTCATTTTTAATCTTAAGCCTAAGTGAAAGTGAACTTTCCCGACATATTCTGATACTGTATTTCTCTGTTTGTAGAACAAGCTATCATAAAAAGTATACGAATTTGATTTGAAATCATGTCATATGTGCGCCTTCGCATAGATTGCATAAATCGACTTTATAGAGCTTCATATAGTGAGGATTATGATGCCTTAGAGCTCTCCAATTGCATTGAAGAAAGAAATTTCGTCATTAATTATTTTTTTTATATCTACCTTTAACTTATCAATATCACTCTGGACTTTTAGCTTACTAATACCGTAGTTCATTGAAATATCAAAATTAGAAATCGAAAAAATATATAGAAATTGTTTTGTATTTTAAAATATATTACGAGATAGCATAAAACAGAAACAGGTTGCGAATGAGCCAAATTGAATTTAAAAAACTTTAAGTTCGTGAAAAAATCAAAAGAAAACAGCTACTCTGTGTCAATTTTAAGCTACTTTAATGAAATGTTTAGTGCTATGAAGAAATATCACTCACAAAATCATAAATTCTGAAAAAAAGCATTTCAATTGTACACCAAGAAATTGCCGTTTTAGGAATCTGTGCTTTATTTCAACCATACTAAATTGCAGAAAGGCATATATTTGTGGCTTATTCCTCATTCTTTTGTAAGATTTTGCATATTTTGAGTTCGTACACCTCCTTTTGGGCTTACTACTTTTGAAATGAGAATTTCCGCTTGATTTATGTATATTCATTAATTAACTTATCAAACGAAACCTTTTAAGTCGCAGTCACTCGGATCAAAATTTTTTCAGTTATTTTAAAACTGTTGCATGTTCACGGACATGTAATATGTAATCATTACCAGTTGTGATTAGAAAACTCTCCTTGATTCTACGATTAGAGCTGAAGATGCTATTTTGAAATGTCCAGTGGAAAGAAATGAACTCTCTTGGCATTCGAATGGTTATTAGAGTTATTTTTATACAAATATCATAATATTCAGGTCATTATGTGAGAGCATGTTCACCTCCTGTTCTGGATTTCCAAATTTACTTGTAGCTTTGAAATTTAATCGAAATGAATGTTTCTTATATTTTTAGTTGATATAGACAATTTTCAGGCCGATATAACAGAAAATAAGAACCAGATTTTTCCGAAAGTCCATACTAAAAAATTACTTGAATGGAGAAGTATTGCCACCAGAGTCATAACTGCTATAGAAAATATGTAAAAAAAAATTGGGCAGTAACCGCTATATTGTAAAAATCAAGTTTTTTTTACTTTCAAGTAACGATTATTTATAATTTTTATTTTTTTTATTTTTTTTATTTTTTTACGTTGCATCATAACAGTATTTGCAATGAAATTTTTTTTCGTTGCCCATTGTAGTACAGTTCATAATTAATTTCATGTACCGTTGCACTTTGCGTCAATTGCGTTTTAATAAAATTTATTAAATTTGTTTTCCTACGAAAATATAACGCGTTACCTACTACGTAACCAATCTACAGTGTTGTAGGAGGATTACTGTATGATTCGAATAACATGGGTCGCAAACAGGCCCAACGAGAGGGGGGAGCCCGTAGATTGCAAGGGGGCCCGGTGTTTTCATTGTCGTACATAGAAAATTTGCTTCTAGAATATCTATGACGTAACTGACTACAGATTTCCATGGATTGCGAGACAAATTCTACGCGTCTGAAAAAAATCAGTAATTTTGTTACTTCACATATGATGTATGTGACGCATGTTCTTATCTTACAGTCATTGCAGTAAGACTTAGTTTTGTATGAGAAAGATCAATTTTTCAATTTCTCAGTTGCTAGCGCCGGGCGATCATTTAGCGCACTTTCAAGAATAAAGAACTATCATCGTTCTTGTTCAAGCCAATCTCGAGTCTCAGGACTGGCAACGTTATGTTTGGAATTTCAATTAGCTAGAAAACTTGACTTCGGTATTATCATTGAGGAATTTGCATCAGCTAAAGCAAGGAAGGCATATTTTTGAGGGTTGCTACCTATTAAAATACTATTGTGATGCTAACTAAGGTATTGTAATAAAATTGTTTAAACAAAAATTGTTCCAGGGGGCCCGCATTTGAATTATCCCCGGGTACCGATTTTCTCTCGGCGGCCCTGGTCGCAAACGTAACAATTTTATACGCGAATTTTACAGTTAATATTATTTATTTTGATATAATAAAATAACCTATATTCAAATATTTAATCCACTAATAAAATCATCTTCTCGATTCAGACAATTTTTAGGCCGATATTATCTCCTGCAAAATACGTAGGTAAGACAACGTAAACGAATTTTTCACTAAACAATATTCATTGAAAATAACTGTCATGAGGCAAAGTAAAAATAAGAAACTTAAATTAAACGTTTTGGACCACAAAAAAACAGTTATTTTTGGCCGGAGGCAAAAATGACTGAAATACATTAATGAGGTTTGTTGAAATTCGGCAAATATTTTCAAAAACACTGTCAAAAAAATTTCATCCTTGTTTCAATCTTTTAATCAATTAAAAGTTGAAAACTGAAATGAAAATATAGCATACAACTTAATTATCAATGTCGTAATTCGCTTAATTCGGCAGTTCGAGTGTATTTCTGACGTGAAGTTAAGGCTCTTCACAAATACCCTGCAGCCGTTTTGAGGCGGCTTGGTGTAAACTTTAAGTCTCTCCATTATATACATATAAGCTATTTTCGAATGATAAGCAACTTAATGAAATTTTTCAAACGCACAACAACTCTTAATTTGCTGTTAGTTGCCATGCGAAACGGAGATTTGTTAGCGCCAAATGTAGAAAAATTTAGGTTTACAGATTTTGCTTTGCTAGATTAAAAAATATAAGGGGCAAGCGTAGATCACAAACAGAGAGGAAAAGTTTACAGCTTTTATGAATTGATTTGGTTATAACAGCATAATTAATTTAATTGTTAAATTTAATTAAAAATAAATTATTTGCAATTTAGTTGATTGTATTTGCTGCATCAATATAAAAACACCTGAAATCTCTTCCTTTAGATCTCTAAGATCTCTTTTTTCAATTATGCTGTTACGTTAACGTTGGGCACACAGCTTCATTCCTAAGCACATGTATATTGGCTCAGGAATTTATTTAGGGTTGGAGTGATTTCATAAAATTTAGCAGGCTACTTTCTCAATTTTTTTCGATTTTTTCGGTTAATATATGTACAGTTAAAATGTTATAAAATGGTAGTTGTTTATTTAACAGCTGTTTCGATATTAAATTCGAATCAGGAAAAAAGAGTGAATTTTTGTTCTGTTCGGTGACCTGATGGACACTGATTTTTACTCAACTGCGTTCGGTGAGACAAAAAAAAAACAGTAAAATTTACTCAAAGAAATTCGTTTCAATATGAAATCGTGCATGCCGTTATATGTATTTATTTATTTATTTTTAATGTTATTTATTATTTGCAATGTCCAATTAAAGTATAATTGTCACAAAAGTTAAATTTTTCTGTCTTTCAATTTCATATCCTTTGTATGATAGCCTCTTCCGAACTTTCAAAATCGTACGAATGCCTGCTGTTGCATTGGTAATAACCGCGTTTATTAAATTTAATTTAATATCATGTACCTACTACTAATTGTTTTCATTATTTTTGAGTTGAATATTACAATTGTTTTGTAAATTTCGTCTTTTTCAATTTTTATTTCGTACATAAGAATGCAATGTAATGGGTTCCATTATTTATTCAATATATGTATGTGCATATTACTTTTGTTATTTGTCTTGGAAGATGCGGTCTTGATAGTCACTAATTGATTATTATTATTTTTATTATTTTTTTGCGTTTCTTTTACGTACATACATAAAAGGCAAGCAACAACTCTTTGGTTTGGAATTGTCGTCACATTCGTAGTTTTTGGATAACGTTATAAATACGTTACATAATATTGACGTCAAAAAATGTACTTTGGTGTGTACAATGTGTGTTTTCACGTTATAATTGTTGTTATTATTAATTTATGTACTTAAATATGTATGTTTGCATTTATTTATTGATTTATTCGTATTAAGACTTTTGTACGTACATATTTTTTTTATTGTGTATACTAACGTATTGAGTTCATTTTAGAATCGTTATTATTGATCTGACATCTTCTATTGATTTCATTATTATTATTTTCTTCCATCGGTAAAACTATTTCAGCGGTTGAATGGGCGAAAATTAACGACTGGAGTGAATTTTCATTTTTGCTGTTTTTTGTTTTATTTTTTGTTTAATTTTTTTCTTTGTGTAATTTTACAAAAGAAAAATTATGAGTGTGCCTACATGTGTGTGTGTGTATTTTTATTGTATTGATATTTTTGATTTATGAACAGAAGATATCGCGTTGTGTATGTGAGCTTTGTAATTTTCTGCTGCTAACTTTTGAATGTGGTTGTGGTGATCTTAAGAATATAAAACGTATAATGAATGCTTTTTAATCGTATCAAATATAAAAATCAACAATATTACTATTATTATTACTTTTTTACTTTGGTTTACCTTAAAAGGGATTTGCATTTTTTAGTTCCTTTTTACATTTTCGTCGTTGGTGTATATATGTATATATATATTTTTTTTAATTTTTAATATTTATTCATTTCTTTACAATCATATTTTTAACACGCTTTTCATTTTACGCTTATTCTTTTAAATTTTCGGTTTTTTCTAAGCTTTGGTTAGCTTTACTACGTTGGTGCACGTGAATTAGCCTTATCAAAATGCTATTCCATTCTTTATCGTTATCGATATTGTTAACTTTATTTAAATGTTATGGAAATTAGTATACAATAAAGTGGTTTTAAAGTGATCTTCTAAATATCGTGTATGTAGGTTCTCCTTCATACACGTATGTACATAATTTGTTTAAATACTTAGCTTTGTGTGAATACAATACAATAATTTTTCAAAATTGTAATAAATTAAAAATAATATACATACATATGTAAATAAATTGTTTTTAATAAAAATCGAAAATTTACTCACTTTTTGATATTCACATTGTGTTGATAATAAAATATCAATTTTAAATTACTACGCCATTTGTTTCTTCCGACATTTTTCTTTTGCATTGGCTTACATTGCTTTAGTTCCTCACTAACTCAGTTTCCAAGTGTACGATTTTCAAATTCCATCCAAATTTTCATTAAATCATTTTACAATTTTGTTTAGGAATTTCGCTTTAACAACATTTGCTGCTTTTTATTTATTATTTTCTATTTATTTTAAACTTCACTTAACTACATATATACTCGTACAACTAGTTATTATGCCTTTTCTATTATTTGCGCATTTTGTTTTATATTAATTTTTATTTAAAATTTTTATTTTAGTGTATTCAAATTTGTTTAAATTTTATATTTAAATCTGTTCCTATGCTTGTAAATTTCTATAAAATGACGTATAATATTGCAACAATCGGTTAACGCTTTTCATCGTGTGTAATACTCCTTTCACCAATTGTTAAACATTCTCCAAATGATGCATTTGTTCTAAATGATTCTCATCATCATCGAATCGTACGTCGTTTATAAATATCTCATGGTGTATTTGATCGAGATCGACGTCATCGTCCTCGTCCAGACCGTCATCGTCGTTTATTAGTATGCCCGCACTTAGACCGTCGACGCCGGCAATGCATATGTGTGGCGGTGGTGGTACACTAGTGGGTGGCAGTGGAGCGGGTGGTATCATCATTGAACCACTATTGATGCCATGTAGACTACCCGATATGCTGGCACCGCCTTGTAAATGTCGACGACTTGAGCTTAATCCTTTTAAGATTGATTGAATGAAATGAAAAAATCTCATCGTTAATATATAGACATATACGTATACATGTACATATACATATGCAAATACATATACATAAACATATATATTTGCATCTGTTAGCAATTGTCTAAAATTATTTTTATTCAGCATATATAAGAAGTAGGAAAAGTGAGTCTGTGAGATTGTTTAAAAGAGTCTAAATAATAAATAGAAAATAAAACAAAATTTTTACTGATGTCGTACGAAAAGAAAGTTCGCGAGCATAGGTAGTTAGAGATGACACATCATCATGTTACTGATACTACTAATTGCGGTACTCATGATCAGTTAAAGAGATGTCGTCGGTTGAAAAAATGAGCTCGCCAGTTTCAACAAGGACGAGACCTGTGAAAATGTCCTCCGCCCAGGGCGTCCAGTGACGATCGTAACCGAAGAAAATGTTCAGAAAGACGAAAAATTGGTACTGGCTGATCGAAGAATTATATTGTGGCAGATAGCGGAAGGATTACAGGTTAGCAAAAAACTGGAGAGCTAGAGAGATATGGGTTTGAAAAAGATTTGTGCGCGTTGAGTACCGCGAATGGTCATGCCGCTCGACAATCAGCGACGTTTGGAGAGTTGTTAATATTTTTTGGAGTTGTGCCAAAATTATTTTGATGAATTTTGTAGTCGCATTGCAATAGTTTATGTAACTTGGATTCGTCAGTATGATCCCGAGCTCAAAAAGGAGTCCACGCAGTGAAAGGTTATGGCTAGGATAGCGAGGGAATATTATTAATTGATTACTTGCCAAAGAGAATTACATTGGACGGTCAGTATTACGTTAATTTGTTGAGTCAGGCGTGTGAGGCAGTCGTACAAAAGAGACGTGGGAAGCCAGTGCGCGGAGTCCTGTTTCTTCAAGACAACGCACCCGTTGACACCGCTCGGGTTGCTTGGGAGTGCTACTGGATTTACAGAAATCTACCATCCACCCTACAGTCCGGCCCTGGCTCCCAGTAACTTTGTCCTTTTTTTTAAATTAAAAAAAGGAGTTAGTGGGACGAAGATGAATACGGATGTAGAAAACCATTTTGAAGGGAAACTTAAATAATATTTTTTCAGGGATATTAAAGCATTGTATAAAATTTTTGACTTTCCATCATTATACAGTAGAAATTCGACTATTTCGGCTGGGCAAGTTTGGAGGTTGTCGCAAGTACGGTATACTGTTATTTAGGAATCAATAAAAAGTTATGGACAATTTCTTACTCTCGTCTAGAATATGTTGTAGATATTCGTACTTTCTTTTCATCTGTCATTGGTAGAATTTCAGGGCATTTTCGCATTTTTGCCTCAGTATTAACTTTGGTTCGAAGTATGTAAATACCAGAAGGAGAAGAGAGAGAGAGAAAAAGAGAGAGAAAGACGCCTCAAATTTATACCGATCGGATTAGAACGATGAGCTGACTTGATTAACCATGTCAGTCTATCCGCCTGTGCAGCCGCATGGAAGTCCCTTAGTTTTTAAGAGATTTCAAACAAGCTTGGTACCCTTAATTTGGATTAAAATCCACTAAAAAATATCTAAGAGCGCAAAAATTTGAATTACACACACTTAAGCTTCATATATCTCTTGCCAATGCGAAATTAAGTAAATATCTTCCCGAATCAGCATTGAATTGATTATTGTGCCTTATCAGTAATTCGTCAGCCCCATAATTCATAAAAAAAATATTTTCCACCAAAAAAAAAAAACTTAAAAGACTTTTATACAGTTCAGGTTTTCCAACAAATAGAGGAACCTACAGTTTATTCTAAGCCTTATTCGAAAGGCCGATGGATTTATTTTTCATACTAGAAATATGTGAGGAGATAAACTGATGCATTGCTAACCAATCGGCTACTGCGGATTAGGAATATTAATATTTTCGGTTTGTAAATTACTTGATTAAACCCTTTTTAATTTTTTTAGAAATTTTTTGGACCTATTTTCTTTTTACAAGTTCCGGATTCAGATTAAGAAACAGATTTGTTTATGGACTGTTCACTTTTTAAGTTCAAGATATTGCTGCTCTCTGCAACTGAAATCTTTAAGTTAAGAAATAGATGGATAATCCCGCTTTTAACTTTTTAAAAAATGTCAGCTTTCTCTTCAATGTCAGCAGTCTGAACTTTGTTTGTCTTTATGTCACCGTAAACCGTAAATAAACTGAACTGCACCCAAATCAAAATGAAATTACAGGTCGACGAAACATCTCGACAAATTGCCAAGGTGCTCAAAGCTTCTCCGAACATTAAATGGACGACATCGAAGAGCAAGCCACAGTTAACTGCACAGCACAAGCGAGAATAGTTAAATCTTGCATAAAAATACCATGTCCTGGACAAAGGACTTGCAGAAAGTTATTTTTTCGAGTGAGAAAACAATCAGTTTTTCAGTTTGGGAATGCCATTTTTGGGGAGCATTTTGCTATGATTCCAAGCTTAGTCTTGGCCGAACTTCACAGCATACACAGACCTACTCTAACAAAAGCTCATTCCATTTATAAGACAAGCGATAAAATCGAATACATATTTCAATAGGACAATACCTCGATAAAGAAGGTAAAGGCCAAGGAAGCTGAAAAAGAGAGTTATTTTACTTTCCATAAAAAAGAGGACCCCACGGTCTGCCCCAATTACCGTACCGCTTATAGGTCCTGTCGAGCGTATTGTGTGAAAGACTGAAACCCACCATCAACAAACTGATTGGAACTTATCAGTGTGGCCTCAGACCTGGTAAGTCAACCATTGACCAGATATTCACCATGCGCCAAATCTTGGAAAAGATCCGTTAAAAGCGGATCGCCAACCACCAACTCTTCGCCGAGGAAGGTGGCTTTATTCCACTATGTCCGAATTTGGTATCCCTGCAAAACTTATATGGCTGCGTGAGCTGACGCTAGACAACACCAGAAGCGCAGTCAGAATTGGGAAGGACCTCTCCGAGCCGTTTGGTAGTGAACGAGGTTTCAGACAGGGTGACTCTTTGTCGTATGATTTCCTGAATTTGATGCAGGAGAGAAAAATAAGAGCTGCGGAGCTGAATAGAGAAGATTCAGTATTCTATAAGAGTTCACAATTACTGGCGTACGCTGATGATATTGACATTATCGGCCTCAACAACCGCGCTGTTAGTTCTGCTTTCTCCAGTCTTGTTAAAGAAGCGAAGCGAATGGGTCTGGTAGTGAACGAGGGCAAGCCAAAATATCTGCTGTCATTAAACAAACAGTTATCACATTCGAGACTCGGCTCCCACGTCACTGTCGACAGTCATAACTTTGAAGTCGTAGATAATTTCGTCTATCGTGGAACAAGTATTAACACCAATAATAATGTCAGCCCTGGAATCCAGCGCAGAATCACTCTTGCCAACAGTTGCTACTTTAGATTGAGTAGGCAATTGAAAAGTACACTCCTCTCCCGACGAACGAAAACCAAACTCTAAAAGTCTCTCATCGTTACCGTCTTGCTTTATGGTGCGACAACATCGGCGTTAGGAGTTTTAGAGAGAAAGGTTTTCCGTAAGATTTATGATCTTTTGCGCGTTGGCAACGAATATCGCAGCCGATGGAGCGATGAGCTGTACGAGTTATACGGCGACATTAATACAGTTAAGTGAATGAAGAAGCAGCGGCTACGCTGGCTAGGTCATATGGTCCGGATGGATGCGAATACTCCGGCTTTGAAAGTTTGCGACGCAGTACCCGCCGGTGGAAGCAAAGGAAGAGAAAGACCTCAACACCGTGGGAAAGACCAGGTAGATAAGGACCTGGCTGCACTTGGTATTTCCATTGGCGCCAAACAGCAGAAAGAAGAACGCAATGTTGTAAAATTCGGCTAAAATCGCGTAAGCGGTGTCTACGCCAGTAAAGTAAGTAAGTAAGTGTTACTTTATAGTTTCTACAATGAACAACACTGATTCCCTTAACGCAAGGAATGCAACTTGAAACCGCTCGCTGGAATAAACTTCTATTAAGATTTTTCTTTGTTCGCTCGATATTTATTTAAATTTCATAAAACTTTTTTGCAAAGTTAAACGCCTTGTATTTATATTGACCTCGTTCTATTCTTTTCCATATTTTCCCAGTTCAGTCCAATTTTCTTGGATTTTATCATTTTAGGTAGCCTCCATGTTTCAAATATACCAAAAATCGTATGTCAGTCAATTATTACTTGAAGGATTAAATATATATCTTTTTCAATGTACTTTTAGATTACAGTTAGTTAGTACACTGGATATTAAGAATTATTAATAAAAATTATAAGCTTTACCTGGCAGCGTGTAAAGTTTCTGTATCAATATAGTGCATAAATTAACTAATGTGCTCATAAAACCTAAAATTTTTTAAAAACTGAAAATAAAAAATTATATATTTTGAAATTAAATTGAAATAAAAATGACTCTATTAAAGCATACATAAAACATATGAAAATATAAATTAACGGTATTTTCTTTATTTACCAGTTGCGCTCGTTTGTGAATCGTAGTGGGCGTTGCGATGTAAGCCCAGCTGCCGCACATGGGCTCTACGTTTTCTTCTGGAGTGATAGAGTGTGCATAGGAGACAGATTAGGAACGAGACGACGATTAGTGTTATTATAATTAGAACGCCGTGATCCTCCTCGGGTGCTTGTGTGGTACCTTTTAGCATGCAGTTTTCATAACCACAAGATAAAACGTAAAGCAAAAAAAACAATTTTTTTTTCCAGAAAAGATAGAGTAAAAAAAGTGATATATTAGCATGCTATTATTAATATTAAATAATATAAATTTATAAAGAGTATATGTATATGTAAATAACTTATTTATTAATTAATTAATTCATATTTTATTTATTGGATTTTTAATTGCATAAATCAAAATGCACACATACATGTACTGGGTATACATATGTATGTGAGTATTTTGATTTATTTCACGTTTTAAGGAAGTTTTAAAAAGTGTAAAATAAGTGTGCTTATATATTATACATTTTTTTTTATAAATATTATATTTTATCATGAGTAATGACATCATGGTGTGCAGTATGTTTGAACCAGTGATGGAGTATGTGAGGAAACCTTAATTGAGTGGCGCATTTTCGTGTATGATATGAGTTTCTTTGCAGATAGTCTGAATAAACTGAGTGAGTTTTGGTGAGTAACAATGTAAGCGGAAAAAAAAGACTCAACTATTTCGCTGATAAATTTACGTGCTGTGCAATTATTTGTGGTTCAACAAACATACATACTTCTTCTTTAAGTAAGCGAAAGACATTATATGTAGATACTATAAGACTTTTTCATTTTAGATTTGAGTGCATTAAAAGGAGTAGACATTTTTGCATTTGTGACAATGAAAAGCATGCTGGTTTCGATGAAAATATTTAGAAATACGTGTGAAATGATAATAGAAGGCAAAACAAAAAGAAAGGTAATAAGGGGTTTATGTATTTAGATTTGAAATGATAGATAAATTATAAAAATTCCCGACACAAACAACCACCCTTTCCAATTTATTTATGTGCCACTTTATTAGATATTCTCAATAGTGTTAAATGAGGAAGAAGGAGCTATCTAAACGAATTCATTAAAGCAAAGCTTAACTTTTTAACGATTAAAAAGTCATTGCTTTACGTCTACATTCAAATGCCACATCCGGGCGAGTGTAAATTTGAGTAATGTCCTCGGAGAAAGTTAGTTTGATTTAATTTTGAAGTAAGAAAAAGTAAAAATCGTAAATAAGTTTGCATCCTCAATCGCTTTGTGTTCATATAGGAAACACAACTGTTTAGCATGTATGTGTACATTCAATAACTTGTAAAGGGACTTTAATCAAAAGCCATGTTTTTTGAAAATTTTTTTTTGTGTAAAATTATTTTTAAAAGAGTTTTTATAATGTTTTATTTTGTTGTTTTCATTAATACAGTAATATATTAAGTTGAATTATTAGTAAATTCGAGTATGAAATTTTGATAAAAAAAAACGATTTATGTACAGGGTTTTCCAATAAGAGTGATATGATTTCCTAAAAAAAACACACGCACTAATTGTTAAGGAAACTCAAATGTATTTTATTGAATATGAAGTATAATCTCAAACAAACTGAATAAAACGACTTCTTTTGCAGGAACGAATTCGATGAACCCAGTTTTGAGCGCTTTTTCCACTAATTCAAGTCTTATGTCATGAATAGCACGTTCAATATTGACTGTGTAAAGCCTTAAGATAGAAGAAGTCTTTCTAAAGACCAATGACTTCAAATAACCCCAGAAGAAGTACTCTAATGGCGTTAAAACACAACTGCTTAGATGCCATTCAATGACGAAATTTCCCACCGAATCTCCAAACCTTTTTCGCAATAATTCGGTTGTTGTACGTGCTTTCTGACTTGTAGCCCAGTCTTGTTTGAACCAGATGTTGTTAAGATCAACTTCTTCCAATTGTGGCCAGAAAGAGTTGGTTATTATCGATCTATACCGTCTAACATTGACAGTAACGGTGTTAACAGCTTAATTTCGAAAGACGTACACACTGATGATATCACTACACCAAACTGTGCATGTAATGGTTGTTCATAAAATATTTTGTGGACCAAAACCGACAGTTTTTTTTCATTTGCCACATAACTCAGATGAAAATGAGCTTCAACGGGCAAGATGATTTTCTTAAAACAATCGTTTTCAATTTTTTATTTTTGTTGTTTGTAAACATTGTTCTTATATGAAATTGCAATTATTACTGAATGCAGACATGACATATTAAAAATAGCCAAAACGACACTTAGAAATCATATCATCCCTATTGGAAAACCATTAATAGAAATCTCAGTTTTTAGTCTCTTTTTATGTGGCGTACCTCAACTCAGAAGTCTGGAGAAAATATAAAACAAAATACATAGCTTCAAAATGGTGTCAGAATTCTTAAATCCTTAAAAATTAAAATTATGAAAATTTTTAGCGTAATCTCTCTCTTTTTTAAAGAATATTTTTAACCGGTATACTACATAACTCTTAAGCTATTATATAATAATTACCTAGACCATATACAGAATTTACATCAATCGCTTCACAAAGTTCCTAGAAAAAAATTGTTTCTTGATGTTTGGAATATTTTTTAAGTTCTGAACGAATTTTAGCTTGCAGTAATAAATTTATTTTGACACCAACATTTTCTGAAAGGAAGTGCCGATAGCCTTTTGGGGCGATTTCACTAAAATTACCATTGTATGGCCTTTAAAAAGTGCATTTCAGAAGGCCCTGATATATTTTTATAGGTTAATTAAAAAAGTTGAGGTGTTCAGAAATTCTCGCATTATTTATTTTAGAGTTCGGAAATAAGACTACTCAAAAGACATAATACGAAATGGACAGAGTTTGCCCAAGCAATTGTTGTTTAAAAATTCGAAAAAAAAACGTTTGATTTGTTTTTTTTAAAGAGTTGAACTATCACTGCAGCAGTGTATTTTGTATTTGTATATATTTTGTATTTTAGTATGTTATATAGCATTTAAATCTAAATATTTTAACGATGTATAAGAATCTAAATGATTTTTCCATTTCTAAATATACGCAAAATTATTCATATTGAAGATAAATTAAATAGTTAACTCTACGAAATTAATAAATAAAAAACAGTTTTTGCTAACCTCACTAAATCAAACATATATGTAATGTATCGAAATGTATTTTTTAAATCAATTAATCATAACGGATACAAAGTAACTCACAACCAATGCAATCTTCGCTCTCTTATTACTTTTCTTTCCTCTGCAAAAAAAGATGGTTTCTGTATCAAATTCTTTAGCTTTGGTTATTTACTGACAACTGTAAGCTATCTAATGGGCATTCAGTCAAGAGTGCCTCTTAAGATATCAGTCATAGAAATATCTTTGTGCATTGAGCACTGTGCTCAACTGAAGCGATTCTCGGCTAGTGGATTTTTATGAGGATCATTCATATCAGCAATATGCTCAGAGGGCATGACATTCCATGCCGAAGGCCGATCGCAATTACATAAAATAATTTAATTTTGGATGTTGTTCCGTTCACGACTCGATTCCTTGCGTTCAGTATGTAGTACGCAATACTAACCACTCGCCCGGTCGCCAAAAACATAGCGAAAGGAAGCATGAAACGTTTACTCGTGAACCAGTGGAAATTGAGCTGTTCAGAGTTTTCGTCGTGCGTGGATCGGAAAGACATATTGCGGGTCCAGCTAGGAATATCTTTTGAGCCTCTAAATTGAAATTCAGAAAATCCATATTATATATATGTATAATTATTCTCTGGTATTTATGGCGCGGTAGCCGAGTGGTTAGCATTTCATACTGACATTCGGAGGACGCGGGTTCATGTCCCGATGCCACCAACATCCACAAGTTATGGAAAAATAGTTTAAATAAAAAATTAAGGTAAATTTTCTAATTGCGGTCGCTCCTCACCAAGGAATGTTCACCGCTCCAAGTGTATTTCGGACCCGAAATAAAGGCTCCTCGTAAAAAAAAACCATCAGCCGTTCGGAGGCGGCCTTGTATAAACTGTAGATCCCTCCATTTGTTGGAAAAAAACATCAAAATACATAAACCACAAGGAGGAGCGCGGCCGAAAAATTACCTCAGCGTCTTATAAATTTCTTAAACAAATTAGAAGACCTACAGTTTATTCTAGACTGTCTCCAAATGACTAATGATATTTTCTGGCCTGGCAAAATACGCTCAAAGGAGTTAATATTCCCTGTCGAAAGGTGACGTCAGCTCGGAGAAATAATTTTTTAACCTTCATGCGGTCGCGCTTATTCGATAATTACGAGTGAGCGCTGCAATTACAACTGACCGCTTGGAGGGCTAAAATAATTTTTTTTTAATTAACTGGGCCTAGTCTAACTTTCTCCAAAACCAAAATTGTCTCATAATCTAGTTGTGAAAGAAAGTGAGATGCAATTATGCCTTTCACTCGCCAATGCTAACCAGAAGTTTACTTCCATATTAGTGAAATGTTAGCAAAAAAAAAAAAAAACATGAAAAATAACAAAAGATAAGAAAAAAACAACAAGAGACAAGAAAATAAATAAATAAATGAATAAAATTTTGTCGACTGCGAGATGAAGCTGTGTTGAGTTAAATAAAGGGTGCTACGAAGAGGATTTCTTAAACGACCACAATAAACTCGATTCTTTTATAGGCGTATATTTGGCGGTATGTACTCGTAGGCATACTATTATATATCAAGCATTTATGTAATAAGCTTTAGCAAAACCTAGTGCTATCTACTAATTGTAAACAGTTTTTTGTAAGTGTAAATGTATATTTAAAAATCCTCTACATATTTTGGCTTGAATGCGTGAGGAAATGATGAGTGAAACGAATGTTTATGATGTGGTGGGCGGTATATTGGCAACTTTACTAACGGGATTAAAACAATTATTTACGAGTTCAAGTATGCATATACGAATATGTGTATATTCAGTATGGAAATTGTTATGCTAGCATGTTGGTATATATGATATATGATGTATTTATGTGGGAAAAAATAGTTTAAACATTTGTTGTAAAGTTGTAAGTATTTTGAATAGACTCACGTGTTTCTGAATCAAAGATGTCTTTTTTGTATGCGTAAAATGTTTTAGTAGTATTGGCTCATGTAATTTCAACATTATTTTTCA